CCTTTCCCGTGTGCGGTGCGGAGTTGAAGGCTGCTTACATATGCTTCGAGGAGCAATATCATAATGCATGCCAACAGCTCCGTGTGTCCGTACACTCCGCGTATCTGTCGGCTGTACAGAGGGAGAGGGGCCGGCCGACTCTTCGGAGTTGGCCGCGCAACTAACATTATCTTGCGCGGGACGCTATTCGTAGCTGTGCCTCGCAGATGATCTGCGCTGTTATGTGCATGCGCAGGCGGTGGATGTCGGTATCTAAATACTCGACTTACACACGCCAAGACCTACTTGCTTTGCCGTATAAGAGGGTGCCACCCTCTTCCCTGGGGCTCAGCAGGCGGTCCGAGAGGCTGCTCAATTGTATACTTCCATCAAAGACTCATAAGGCCTTGTTGGAGGTACCAAGCGTTAAAACCGCGTAAGCGGGCCTCTCCAATTGTCCCCTCCTACGCTAACGCACGGGTCAGACGTCCACACCTGCTTGGAAGCCGCCGCTTCCTTCAGGTATAAGGGCGCCGGGAGGAGCAAGAGAGGCACGGACCGGGGCAAGGCAGCTGGTCGAGGCCAACAGCTTTTTCGCGGGGCTTCTACCCGAGAGAAGGCGGAATTCCTCCGTGCCGAGGTCGACGCACTTCTTATGAAAGCTGCGATCGAACCGGGTCCCGAGGGACAGGAAAGCGAGGGCTTCTACTCGACTTGTTTCCTAGTCACCAAACAGTGATCTCAACTGTCGAGACAGGAGAATGGCTAACGTCAATAGACTTAAAATACGCCTATCTCCACATACCAATACACCCCGAGTTCAAGAAATACCTGAGGTTTTCTTTCGACGGGAGGTGTTATCAGTTCAGGGTTCTACCATTCGGGATCTCCACGGCCCTGAGGGTGTTCACCAAGCTGATGTTGATTCCCGCCCAAGTGGCCAGGTCAAAAGGTCGGTTCTGCCATCCGTACCTCGACGACTGGTTACTAAAAGCTTTATTGCAATCCCTGAGTCAGATAGCTACACAACAAGTGATAGATATTCTGATCACTCTAGGGTGGATGGTCAATCTCAAGAAGTCAGATCTGAGCCCCACTCAGAATCTAGTCTTCCTAGTGGCTAATTTCAACACGGTGAGAGGACGTGTATCTCTGTCACAAGATATCAAGTCCCTTAAGCGCAAGTCACACTGCTCGTACATGGCTCCAGTTACTGGACAACATGGCGGCGACAGTGGATTTGGTCTGGCGGGCGCGCTTGAGAATGAGACCCATTCAACAAGCACTCCGTCGACTTTGGGCGAACTCGGAAGATCTCGAGACTGTGCTCGAGACTCCGTAGTGGCTCATTACACACCTCCAGTGGTGGACCGAGGTCGGGAATCACTCCCGTTCCGTCTCTCACAGTTCAAACAGACGCGTCACTCTCCGGCTGGGGAGGCGTTCTGAATGATCACACTGCCTCGGGACTATGGTCCCAGCAGGAGATCAAACTGCATATCAATGTGCTAGAACTGAGAGCGGTCAGGTTGGTGTTCCAACGCTTCCCGGATCTGCTTCATGGCCAAGTGGTTCGTCTAGAGATGGACAACCAAACGGCGATGACTTACATCCGGAAGCAGGGGGGAACGGCGTCTCCGTCGCTTCGACGAAAGACGTGGCAGTTCCTACTATAGTGCGACTCTCACGATATCAGGGTGCTACCTGTTTATCTCCCGGGGGTGGACAACGTCCGTGCGGACGCTCTGTCTTGCCGGATCCTCGCTCCTCACGAGTGGAGGCTCAACCCGGGGATATTCGGGATTTTCTCCCTGTTATACAGGTCGTTACAGGTGGATCTGTTTGCGTCTGGGTTAAATAACCAGACACCAACATTCTGCTCCCGAGTCCACCGGACGCCTTTCAGCTAGATTGGACGGACAGTTCTGTGGGCATTCTCCCCAGTACCTCTGATTTCCAAGGTCCTGTCTCAGCTAGGCACTCAGCCTGCGCGACTAATTGTGCTCCTGGCACCTCTTTAGTCGGCGCAGAGTGGGTTTCCAGTAATACTCAGGTTTCTGGCTCAGCCTCCTGTTATATTACCTTTACGACCGGACTTCCTATCCCAGAACGGGGCCCTCCACCCGAATCTCAGGATTCAATGGGTGGCTTGGCCACTGTCAGGAATCGCCTCCAGAAGAGCGGTATTCCTGCACGAGTTGCAGACACAATACTGGCTTCACGGAGGGATTCGACAAACGTTCAGTACGATAGATAGGCCTGCTATGCGCCCTGGTGTGTCGATAGAGGGATTGCAGATCTTTTTTCTGCAGATCTCGTATCCGTGCTTGAGTTTCTCCAGTCGCGACTAGATGACGGCCTGGCCGCATCAACAGTCCGAGGGTACTCTACAGCTATCGCAGCTTTTCACGTCCCTGTCGACGGGGCACTTCTGGGTGCACACCCATTAGTGCAGCGCTTTTTAGCAGGTGTGGACAGGATCCGACCGCCAGTCCGGCGGATCAGTCCCCCTTGGGACTTGTCAATCATTCTAAATTGGCTGTCCGGTCCTTCCTTTCGGGATCTGTCGTCTCTCTCTCTTCAGCTGTTGAGCTGGGAGACGAAGTTCCTTGTGGTGGTAACGTCCGGCAGACGGGTAGGCGACATTCGTGTTATGTCAGCCGATCCCAAAATAACTGTCTTCCATGGGGTCGATAAATATCACCGGGACAGTCAGTTTTCGTCTACCGGACTATTACCGTCCTAGGGTCGCACACGATTCCACGTGAACGGCTCCTATTGAGCTACCTGCTCTTTCACAGCCTTCCTCGTCGGGGACCACTGCAAGACATGCTCATGTCTTGGATGTCCGCACGACTCTCAAGGCCTATATCAGCAGAAATATGGGTGTCCGTAAGGATAATCAACTATTTTGCTGTTACTGCGGTAGGAAGGTTGGCTCACCTGCGAGTAAACAATCTATCTCGAGGTGGATAGTTTCAAACATTTGTACAGCGTATACGCTTACAGGCAGGGACCCCCCTACCAGGTTGAAGGCTCATTAGGTTAGAGCAGTGGCTGCGTCAAAAGCGTACGCCGCGGCTCTGCCCATTGAGCAGATCTGCTCCGCGGCTATTTGGAGCCAGCCGAGCACGATTCATCAAACCTTACCAACTCGACAAACACTCAAGCGAGCGTACTCGGTTTGGTCAGTCAGTTCTCCGAACTGGGCAAAGTTCTAATCTCTAGCTGATTGAGCATTCGAGATTTTAGACAGTCTTCCGGTTATACTGCTCAGTAATGGTCCGGATTTTATCTTCTGCGGTCGATAAATATCAGTCCTTACTACTCGATAATACTCGTATTTTGCGCACGCACTCCTTCGATCCTCGGGGACCCTCTGGCCTAGCTCAGCGCTGGTTATGGTCTCTCGTGATCTACGCCCTTATATCACTTGTTCAAAAAAGTGGGGGGGGGTGGGAGGTGTTTCGAGTTCTCAACTTATGACAAGCCGCAAAAACAGGCTTTATCATAATATATGGTCGACCACGCCCTGTCTCTAGCCCCCGCCTTTCGACGGTGGTGCCTCACGATAAGGTTGGTTCCATTTATTGAACTCAATATTTTATTCTGTTGAATAATCAAATACGATGTATTTATTTACGCCTGTTGCTGACGGATGCCACTTCCTAGATTATCTTTGGGAGTCTGTCTTGATGCAATAAGTGCCCCAAGGAGGATTTAATCAGAAAGAGAATTTTACAAAACTGTAGAGGTTATGAATTCTCTGATGAAATCCTCCTTGGGGCACGGCCACCCACCTCCCCACATTCCGTCAGCATTTGACATATGGAAAGTGATTTGGGTGAGAGTTGCTCCCCCTGGCGTGAGGCGCCGTTGGGGGTGAGGCCCCGTAAGGGTGGTCGTATATCATACAAAAACGAAGTTTTTTGTGTGGTAACATTTTTATTAAGGAAAATGGTTACAACTATGTCATATAGATTTTCTTGAGCAAGGAAAATGCAATAAGTGCCCCAAGGAGGATTTCATCAGAGAATTCATAACCTCTACAGGTTTGTAAAAATTTCTTTCTGATTGTGCACTCATTCCTTCTGACTTTATATGTTTGAATAGAGGTAAAACTTCAGTCAACTTTAGTATGCAGCATCAGATAGTCTTATACGGGTATTTAAAAATACATTTTGCCAGGGCTACGGTCAAACTATTCCCAATCAGACATTTGTACCTAGTTCTTGAGACCAACAGTGGGAAGGGTCACGTAATAGGGGGATGGGTACCTGGGTAGTAAATTTGGACTCTTCGCAGCCCTAGTCGTTGCTCATAATATCAATCACTGAGTTTTCTGGTCCGGACCTGATTATTTACACCCCACTGTCATATGGCTTGAATACTGCTGAGTGTGGTATATAATTGTAAACACCAAAGAAAGAAAACACATTTTCTTCATATTTTCTCATTGTGCTTACTGTTGTATTCTTGTGGAGAATAGGTTTCAATACTTCCTGATTGGGTGGTTGAAGAGTAGATGTGAAGACTTTGAGTGATGGAACTTTGAAGCACCATAAAAGGGAAAATCAGCTGAAATAATCCTGACATGGATGAAACCTCAATTTATTTTGTATATCTGAGACTAGATGTCATGGTGTTATCTGATTTACAAACACTCCTTGAAATAACAGTGTACACTTTCAGACATTTAGCCTAGTATAGCACGGGAATGTGAACAAAGTCTACGACAACACGCTTCCCAAAGACTACTGCACTGGTTAAGCCTATAAGCAGTCTGCATCTTTAGCCATTAGTCCGAAACCCAAGTCTAGTATGCTTAGGTGATAATTATCTATTATATGATGTTAAAAGCTACAGAAAAGCCTGCTTAGAGCCACGTTCAGTCTTGTAAACTCAGATGTTTTTGGTGCAGACTGTATAAGCCTCAGGCACAAAGTCTGATAATTTTGTGCACATGTTTATGTTCCAGTAAATTCAGGACATGTCTGTGTAACTATCTCTTATTTCTGCAGGATTGACAAGAGATCTAAGTACAGCCGCAGGCGCACATTTGATGAAGATGCAGACATTGATTATATCAACGAGAGGAACATGAAGTTCAACAAGAAACTGGAACGTTTCTACGGACAGTACACAGCAGAGATTAAACAGAACTTGGAGAGAGGCACCGCCGTTTGAGGCACACTTCGGGACTGGATGGGCTGTGTATTTATGTTGTAAATAGTCAAGAACTCTGTAAAGAGGTAACAGCTGACAGGGAAAAATTGTGTCACCTTAGCAGACAAGCATGTTCTGCAAGAAGTGGAAACTTTGTGGTAAATACCTATGCTATAGTTTGTCTATCCCTGATGTCTCCCTTCATGAGAGGGAGCGGTAGGGTAGCTTAGTGGTTAAAGCGTTCGCTCGTCACGCCGAAGACCTGGGTTCGATTCCCGATATTGGTACAATGTGTGAAGCCCATCTGGTGTTCCCCGCCATGATATTGCTGGAATATTGCTAAAAGCGGCGTAAAACCAAGCTGACCCACCCACCCTTCATGAGATGACTGCCAACATTCTAGTACATCATGAAGCTGACCACATGAGGTGACAAGCCATGACCGAGATGCTTGTACCACGCTGATAATGATCTTTGTTTTGTCAACATTAAACCCGGGATCTTGGGTTCACCAAAGTGATTATTGTATCCATCCATATAAAGCTGAAACGCCAGGGTAGGACTAAAATACTGTACAAAAGTGGTGTTAAACTCCCACATTCACTTCACGCTGAGAGGCATTGTGTGTTCATATGTCCCTTTTTAACTGAAAAGGCATTACAGTATGATTCTATTTTAATGATGAAAATAGAATACATTGTGTGTGGTATGTGGTTATGTTGTAATAGTTCATGAATAAGAGATGAATGTGCCCAGTAGGAATTGAAGATTATGTTTTTGCTTTGGTTAATAATGTTCTTCAGTATTTTTTTGCATTTCTGGAGGCATAAACGGAAAAAACCCAGTGCGCACACTGTGTCATTCCATGTAGAAGTAGATTTATGCAAAGTATCCACACCAGTTTTTACATTTAAAACTCCATAAATATGTCAAACTTGACAGACAGCTTATTTAATCATTGACACACAAGTAATGTAGATAACACTATGAAATCAGTGACATAATGCAACAATAGCCCCGCCCATCCTATTATCAGCCAATCAGAGAACAGTTAGTGGGTGTGGCCTATTTATTTTTCGGTTTATACCATAATTATTTGATTAGACAACAAATACCACGAAATCAATTTCAAGTTATTTATAAATAGGTATGAATATATATGTACATGATGTAATTATGACTGTACATGTCAATGTATGTTAAGGCAATAAACTTTTATGTACATACCACAAGGGCGGATCTTTTCATTTGTCATGTTTATTGACACATTGTATGTAAGTCATTTGACGGATATTGTCTACATGTTATCAGGATTATCTGCACATATTATGGCATGGCCTAGAAAATTTTACAATAGTCAGAAGCTAAGAAAGTATTATAAGAAATAATTCCTTGTACTGAAAACTGACATGAGAGAGGAAAGATGGGTTGGATCTTGTGCTACAATAAACATGGTGAAGATTCTTCTTATGACAAATTGGGATGGCACTCAACGTTATGCATGGTTGCATACTTACAACATTGAGGGAGGAATGCATGTCATTTCTTGAACATTCAATATACAACTACAACTTAGAACCTAGTCATGATCAGGTGGATCAGGCATATCAATCTGGATAAATGGCCAAGAACACTTCACGAATTGCCAGAGCAGGCAAACGAATGGCCAATGTTGACAGGAAGTTCAAGAGCAGGCAAACGAATTGCCAATGTTAACAGGAAGTTCCAGAGCAGGTACATGAATGGCCAATGTACACAGGAAGTTTCAGAGCAGGTACATGAATGGCCAATGTACACAGGAAGTTCCAGAGCAGGTACACAAATGGCCAATGCACACAGGAAGTTCCAGGGCAGGCAAACGAATGGCCAATGTTGACAGGAAGTTCAAGAGCAGGCAAACGAATTGCCAATGTTAACAGGAAGTTCAAGAGCAGGCAAACGAATTGCCAATGTTAACAGGAAGTTCCAGAGCAGGTACATGAATGGCCAATGTACACAGGAAGTTCCAGGGCAGGCAAACGAATGGCCAATGTTGACAGGAAGTTCAAGAGCAGGCAAACGAATTGCCAATGTTAACAGGAAGTTCAAGAGCAGGCAAACGAATTGCCAATGTTAACAGGAAGTTCCAGAGCAGGTACATGAATGGCCAATGTACACAGGAAGTTCCAGGGCAGGCAAACGAATGGCCAATGTTGACAGGAAGTTCAAGAGCAGGCAAACGAATTGCCAATGTTAACAGGAAGTTCAAGAGCAGGCAAACGAATTGCCAATGTTAACAGGAAGTTCCAGAGCAGGTACATGAATGGCCAATGTACACAGGAAGTTCCAGAGCAGGTACATGAATGGCCAATGTACACAGGATGTTCCAGAGCAGGTACACCAATGGCCAATGTACACAGGTTCCAGAGCAGGTACACCAATGGCCAATGTACACAGGTTGTTCCAGAGCAGGTACACCAATGGCCAATGTAGTAGGATGTTCCAGAGCAGGCAAACGAATTGCCGAATTTAAATCAGAAGACGACAGTGATTCCAACGAACAAATACTCTGTTGTGGCCTGGGATACATTTTTTTCAGGTGAATAATAGTATATATGACTTGTTGTGACTCATCCCCGTTACTCCCTGGGCAGATTGTTTGTACGGGGGCAGCAGCATGTTCAGGTGGGCGATAACAATGATACACTGGTGACAGACTGCGAAAACATCAATAAACAATTTTGAACCTCTGCATGAGAAACCGTGGCGTATCCATTTTGGTTTGGTTTGTTGTTTTACGCCGCACGCAGCAATATTCAAGCTATATGACGCCGGTCTGTAAATATCACGAGTCTGGACCAGACAATCCAGTGATTTACATCATGAACATCGATCCACGCAATTGGGATCAATGACATGCATCAACCAAGTCAGCGAGCCTGACCACCCGATCCCGATCCCGTTAGTCATTGGAGATGTTGATAGGACGATATGAACGGATACGTATAATGAGTTAGTATGGTTTTACGCTGCTTTTAACAATACTGCAGCAATATCACGGCGGGGACACCAGAAATGGGTTTCACACATCGTACCCATGTCGGGATTCGAACCCGGGTCTTCGGCGTGACAAGCGAACGCTTTAACCACTAGGCTACTCGACCGCCCCGAATATGTGTAAGGTATAAGGCGATATATACAGAGCGATGAAACAGAGAACGATTTAAAATGATGCGGTGAAATAATGGAGAGATGTGATGGTAGGATGGAGTGATGACGCGATACGAATGAATCATATGTATTAAAACTCAGATCACTGGACCATGATACATAGTGGAAAGCAAATTACTATGCGTCACTCATCTAGATTCAATTCACCAAAAATGTCGGATCGGCTGCCTTCATCTGGTTCAGTATGAAGAACATGGCAAGTACAGCGTGGTCAATATATTTCAAAATGTTTCTCAATTTCAGATCAATGTTTCGAGTGGTGGTAATTACTTATGTACACAACTCCCCGACTTGAACGTCAGTATGAACACGTCGATTAACCAACAGATGTGTATGTAGCACTGATGTGACTATGGAATACTGTAAGGGACATTCTCGCGATCTCGACCTTTGGAAACGAGGTAAATATGTATGTTAAGGCAATAAACTTTTATGTACATACCACAAGGGCGGATCTTTTCATTTGTCATGTTTATTGACACATTGTATGTAAGTCATTTGACGGATATTGTCTACATGTTATCAGGATTATCTGCACATATTATGGCATGGCCTAGAAAATTTTACAATAGTCAGAAGCTAAGAAAGTATTATAAGAAATAATTCCTTGTACTGAAAACTGACATGAGAGAGGAAAGATGGGTTGGATCTTGTGCTACAATAAACATGGTGAAGATTCTTCTTATGACAAATTGGGATGGCACTCAACGTTATGCATGGTTGCATACTTACAACATTGAGGGAGGAATGCATGTCATTTCTTGAACATTCAATATACAACTACAACTTAGAACCTAGTCATGATCAGGTGGATCAGGCATATCAATCTGGATAAATGGCCAAGAACACTTCACGAATTGCCAGAGCAGGCAAACGAATGGCCAATGTTGACAGGAAGTTCAAGAGCAGGCAAACGAATTGCCAATGTTAACAGGAAGTTCCAGAGCAGGTACATGAATGGCCAATGTACACAGGAAGTTTCAGAGCAGGTACATGAATGGCCAATGTACACAGGAAGTTCCAGAGCAGGTACATGAATGGCCAATGCACACAGGAAGTTCCAGGGCAGGCAAACGAATGGCCAATGTTGACAGGAAGTTCAAGAGCAGGCAAACGAATTGCCAATGTTAACAGGAAGTTCCAGAGCAGGCAAACGAATTGCCAATGTTAACAGGAAGTTCCAGAGCAGGTACATGAATGGCCAATGTACACAGGAAGTTCCAGGGCAGGCAAACGAATGGCCAATGTTGACAGGAAGTTCAAGAGCAGGCAAACGAATTGCCAATGTTAACAGGAAGTTCAAGAGCAGGCAAACGAATTGCCAATGTTAACAGGAAGTTCCAGAGCAGATACATGAATGGCCAATGTACACAGGAAGTTCCAGGGCAGGCAAACGAATGGCCAATGTTGACAGGAAGTTCAAGAGCAGGCAAACGAATTGCCAATGTTAACAGGAAGTTCAAGAGCAGGCAAACGAATTGCCAATGTTAACAGGAAGTTCCAGAGCAGGTACATGAATGGCCAATGTACACAGGAAGTTCCAGAGCAGGTACATGAATGGCCAATGTACACAGGATGTTCCAGAGCAGGTACACCAATGGCCAATGTACACAGGTTCCAGAGCAGGTACACCAATGGCCAATGTACACAGGTTGTTCCAGAGCAGGTACACCAATGGCCAATGTAGTAGGATGTTCCAGAGCAGGCAAACGAATTGCCGAATTTAAATCAGAAGACGACAGTGATTCCAACGAACAAATACTCTGTTGTGGCCTGGGATACATTTTTTTCAGGTGAATAATAGTATATATGACTTGTTGTGACTCATCCCCGTTACTCCCTGGGCAGATTGTTTGTACGGGGGCAGCAGCATGTTCAGGTGGGCGATAACAATGATACACTGGTGACAGACTGCGAAAACATCAATAAACAATTTTGAACCTCTGCATGAGAAACCGTGGCGTATCCATTTTGGTTTGGTTTGTTGTTTTACGCCGCACGCAGCAATATTCAAGCTATATGACGCCGGTCTGTAAATATCACGAGTCTGAACCAGACGATCCAGTGATTTACATCATGAACATCGATCCACGCAATTGGGATCAATGACATGCATCAACCAAGTCAGCGAGCCTGACCACCCGATCCCGATCCCGTTAGTCATTGGAGATGTTGATAGGACGATATGAACGGATACGTATAATGAGTTAGTATGGTTTTACGCTGCTTTTAACAATACTGCAGCAATATCACGGCGGGGACACCAGAAATGGGTTTCACACATCGTACCCATGTCGGGATTCGAACCCGGGTCTTCGGCGTGACAAGCGAACGCTTTAACCACTAGGCTACTCGACCGCCCCGAATATGTGTAAGGTATAAGGCGATATATACAGAGCGATGAAACAGAGAACGATTTAAAATGATGCGGTGAAATAATGGAGAGATGTGATGGTAGGATGGAGTGATGACGCGATACGAATGAATCATATGTATTAAAACTCAGATCACTGGACCATGATACATAGTGGAAAGCAAATTACTATGCGACACTCATCTAGATTCAATTCACCAAAAATGTCAGATCGGCTGCCTTCATCTGGTTCAGTATGAAGAACATGGCAAGTACAGCGTGGTCAATATATTTCAAAATGTTTCTCAATTTCAGATCAATGTTTCGAGTGGTGGTAATTACTTATGTACACAACTCCCCGACTTGAACGTCAGTATGAACACGTCGATTAACCAACAGATGTGTATGTAGCACTGATGTGACTATGGAATACTGTAAGGGACATTCTCGCGATCTCGACCTTTGGAAACGAGGTAAATATGCCCAAAACACGAGAATGCGAGATCGCGAGAATGTCCCTTACAGTATTCCATATGTGACAGGTTTATTGGGGGCGTGTTTCTACATGGCACGATACCAGCGACAGATTCTCATCTGATTGTGTTTGTGCAGTTAAAAAACCCGATTTTATTCCTACGCAATAACCGGTGTCCTTCCGTGGTTACCACG